TAATATATATTTTATCATATATATTAATATATACAGCTTAGAGTTTTAATACCACTATGATCTAAAATGCACAGTATATCTACCTATAAAGCCTTTTTTGTTTTTTACTTTTTGCCTTTTTCCCCCCACTCTGTGTTCCTCTTTTTATGCTATACCTCAGTTCGCTGAAAATCCATCTTTATCTGTGTTGGTCTTAGTCATATATGTGTATAGTTGTACAGATTTACTTTAACAGAAATAAACATTGGTGGTGGAAAATTATTACTTTCTCCCAAAATCTTTCTATGCCAGATATGTTTTTCCACTGAAAATATGGAAGGGATTTGGTGTGTGTGTGTGTGTGTGTGTGTGTGTGTGTGTCAGTTCATTGACCAGCCTGATTGTGGAAGGGCATGTCACTGCAGTGGTGGAGACCACAGAATTGTGCATTAGAACAGTTGCAGCAGGCGCTCAACTCAGAGCAGTGACAGCGAATGCAGATGCTGGTGCAAGTAAAGTCGGAGAGGTGGTGAGAGCGGGATGGAAAAGTGTTGGGTTGCTGCTTAGGTTGGGGGGGCAGGTGCAGATTGAGAGTTGAGGTTGGTGTGCATATGTGCTGTGGGGAAGAAGGATTGGGGGATCAGCTGTGGTGGTGAAAGCACAGTGTGAACCGCCCCCACCTTACCTCTGCTGCTGGCCAAAAGGACTGCATCTGGTGTGAGCTGCCAGGCCAGAAATTACAGTCACAGTGTAAGCCACAGCAGAAGCCGGGGGTACAGAGCTGCAAGAGCTGCATGCTGACTAGGCTAGAAATTGGGTAATTGCCCACTGCAACAGAAACGTACCTGATTCAGGGACCACTCTGGATGTGCTTCCTGCTGGGTATAGCTGTTGTGGGTGATGCTGGTCCACAATTATATGTCAAGGGTACTGCCATGTGTATTTATTACCATCTTGACGCTGTTGTACATGTGCCAGGTATTGACACTACTTCCAGTTACCCCAAAGACTACCCCTTTTGGGTTCTGGCATTTACTGTCAGTACTGCTGGTCTCCTCTAATCTGTAGCGTTCTTTGAAGATGGCGGCAATCATCTACTTGCACAGGAGGTCCCCGGTCACAAGTAACTTTATTTGTGGTTTCTACATGTCACATGATCTAGTGAAGAGAGCCACAAATAAGTTATTAGCGATGGGAGACTTCCTTTGGCATGAACTGATTGCTGGTATGTGTAGGGGTAGCCGGAGATGAGAGGAGATCAGCAGCACTGTCCCTAAATGTATGGTCTAAATCCTGCACCCTGTGTATGACAGATCAGTCTAATGGCACCGCAAAGGTTTATGGGGTTTTACTGCAGATGCTGATGCAGTGCACACCACTCTGAAGCTGGAGGATCAGCCTGCTGTTTCTTCTGGTACCATTTCTAGTCTTGGGTCAGGCCATGTGTTGCAAGGTCTAACACTGTTCTTACCATACCGGTGGAGGATGCATCTGTCTTTAAGGATCCAACCAAAAAGCAGTTGGAAGACCTTTCCAGAGCTCTGTTCTCATTGGCAGGGCCTGCTCTACACCCAGTCCTGGCTCCAATTTTTACTTTGTCAAACCATCTGACAGTTTTTTAAATCCCTTAAAACAGATCTAGCCACTGCGGCATTGATCCCTTTCTCATTGAACATGTGCAACAGATGGCTGTAGTGTAAAATTTTAGCTGTGACTGTTTGCTAGAGGGCTCCTGCCCTCTTTCCCATGTGCCTGATGTGTAGGGAACCTTGGCTAAGGTGCTGGACTGCAGAACCTTTATACAAAAAGCGTTTGATCTGCATGGCCTTTGAAAGACATCTCTTATTGAAGGAACAGTCGGCAAGGGTTCTGTTAGACAACACATCTCTAACTGTAACTATTGCAGAAGTAATAGTGGCCGATTCCTGAGCCTTCAACAATTGTAAGTGGAACCGACTCATTGTTTGAAGTATCTGGGTCTGGTACTGAGCACCTGTCAAGCCAGTTTTCCTTCCACAAGAGAAACTTCAGATTCTCTGGTCTCAGGTTTGCACATCAGTCCAGAAGCTGACTCTCTGCTTCTGCCTTAGAGTCTTGGGACTGATGGTAACCTTCAAGGCAGTTCTCTTCCCCCAATTTCACTCCAGACCAATATTGTTGTGCGACAAGTCAGTCCTGTTTCTGCCCTTCCTATTCTGTTTTTAGAGATTGTTGCCCTCTCAGTCTTTAAGACCTTTGTGCTGGCCGTCTCCTGTGTAGTTCCTCCTGCCTTTTCCCCAGTGACTCAACTGAATCTGGTGTTGTGGGGTCCCTAAGTTATCAGTTTGTGCCCCCGCCCTTTCAACTTCTCATCTGCACCTAGGGTGCTCGCCAAGTTGCTAGCCATAGTATTTGTCCTGCTGTGCATTTGTGGCATCCTCATTGTGGAGCGTCTCCTGTTGATATTAGTCAGCCCGAGCTCTGTCAGACAAGGTGGCTTTGACTGTTCAGAATTTGATCTTGATCCTGAACTTCCTGACATTGTCACTGGAACAGACTCATTATTTGGAGTATCTGAGCTGTGTCCAGGACTAGACTGAGTGTTTCATCCACGGGAGAAACTTCAGACTCTCCGGTCTCGCATTTAAACTCTCCGGTCTCGCATTTAAACTCTCCAGCACAGAAGTCGGCCAAAATTTTGCCTGCGAGTCCTGGGCCTGATGGTCGCTTCTGTCAGGGTAGGTCTACAGTATTTATCCAGTTTTCACTCCAGACTTGTCCCAAGAGCACAGAACATTGAGTTGTACAAGTCTGTCAGGTCCCTGGGCAGACATATTTGTGTGGTACACAAGGATCAGGTTATCCCTGGCCTGGTGGCTTAGATAGCCTACTCCATCCAGTAAGTTGTCTCTGGAATTGGGAAATTCCTACCTTCCCATCCTTGGGAAGATCCTCACAGTGGATGGCAGCCTGTCAAGCTGGGGAGTAGTCCTATGCATTCTGTTGAAAAAAGTCTGCCGGTCAACATTGTGTAACTTTGGGTTAAATGGCTGTCTCTTCAGTGTTGGGCCATCGTGCTGCAGGGTCATCAGAAGTCTAACCGTGGCAATACTATTTTGGGCTGAACTTCATGTTCCAGCTCATTCTGTCATATGTCAGACGTAGGCAGACGGGCTTTCTCAGCCATCACAGCCTGGGCATGGACGGTGGTCCCTACATTTGGAGACGTTCCAGGACCTGTGTCGCAGGTTGGGGATGCAGGATGTAGACCTACTGGCTTCCAGGTTTACCAACAAACTGGATAGATTTGTCACCAGGTATAGGGATGATCTGGTGGCTCCATAGGATCAGTAGACCCTCATCTAGACCCTTCCTTCCCTGACATTTTTCTAGTCTGCTTTGCCTTTCTGTAATTCTCATTGCTCTGGACTGGCCCAGTTGGCTGTGG